AAGAACAACCCGAATCTAAAATCCATTCATTTTTAGACATCGTCCTGTCATCAATAGCAGAAAAAATATTTTCAACATTCTCATCAGTTGCTACACTAACTTCAGCGGACTCAATAGTTTTCTCAACAAGTTTTTCCTTTTGCTTTAATTTATTTTTCAATTTAAAGCAATCAGATTTAATGTGCCTCATTTTATGACAATATCTGCATTCCAAATTTCTATGTCTGAATTTAGATCTAGATTTAGATCTTCTACTATCAAATTCTCTTTTATCCATTCTACCCCTGACAACCAGACCCTCAGCCTGATTCTCTCTACTTTCCCCAGTGATATTCCTGTCTATCTGCTCCTTAGATTTCAGTGCAGATTTAATTTCTTGATACGAAACTGTTTCTTTTCCATAAATCAAAGTATCACGGAAATGATTAAAAGATTAGGAAGAGAATAATGCTCGATCGGGCCTTCTTATCCATACCCGCAAGACATTCCTTTATCGTACCATCTGGAATGTTCTCAGCTCCCTTAAGTGCCAAATCAACTTAATCTTGAATCAGAATGGCCTCCATCTTGCCAAAGTTGACATTTCTGTCGAATTTCTCGATAACGATCTTTGTTATTGTCATTGTTGCCAAAAGATCCCAAAACCAGGCTCTGATACTAGTTTGTTAGAGCTAGCCCCAGGAAATTTGATTTACATGGTTCGGTCAATTGACTTTGACCTACATCCACGGACGAAAGAGGAGCAAATCACTACTATAAAAGGGACTATTACAAATGCTTTAGGAAGATGTTGCTAGGCCATAAAACACCCGAAAATACTAAACAAGAAAAACCAAATTATTTAACTGAGTGTGGACTTAAACGCAAAGCAAACACTTAGGTTTTTCTTATGGTGCCAATTGTGGTGCTACTTGTAGTGTATTTGACTTCAAAGCTCAGACCCTTATTTATAGTTCCAATAGAAAATAACAAGTCTAATTTTCCTGACGTGAGACTATGGAACTTGCCAAACAGACTCAATCGAAATCGTCACCTAGTGATGCCAAAGCCTCTGCTACTGTCGCCTTACACAGAAGCCGACTAAATTGGTCTGAACCTAAAGAAATGTACAACAACAAACCAGCAACACTAATGGTGGTGGCGACGTTGATCGCCACCACCACATTCGAAGCTGGGTTGAACCCCCCAGGTGGGTTTAACCAGAAAGATGATGTTGGTTCCCCCTACACTTCTAGTCTCAAGTTATTCCTGCTGTTCGACATGTTCGGGTTGTTTGCATCCTCGAGCATCGTTCTTTTGTTGATATGTTGTGTTCCCAGACGGAAGAAAACGGTGATGGGAATCCTAAAGTGGATTCTATGGCTGGCGGTGTTCTCGACGGCGTTAGCATTCTCGATCGCCATTAGGCGAATATGATTCTATCCGCCCTGCACTACCATCCTTCTCATGAGTTGGTTCGGAATCCTCAGTCTCTTCATGGCTTGGGTGTGCTTTAGAGTGATCAGGTGCTTATGGCGCAAAGGTGGAAGCTGGAAGAAGAAGGATAGAGAAGGAGAAAGCCACGGAGGCCCCACAAGGGCTGTTGCCATCTGCACCAAGATTGCGGTGGGCGTGTTGATTATAATTCTTTTAGGCGGATTTCTTATTGTAAATATTACATCTTGATCACACAAAGGATGGCCCATGTTCGATAGATGATATTGGAACCAATTATCTTGAGCCGTAAGATCCCAAAAAATATAGGATCTTTTTATAATGCAATAGATAACTATAAGATTGAGATCGTAATAAATACTCAGAATGATTATACGTATAATTCGATTATCAATAAATTGTAGGAACATGCATCAAACTCGAGAAGCATGAAGTAATGATTTATCGAATCAAATTTTCAATCTACGATATATAATTGATCTTGTGAGATCGAGTAGACATTTCGATCAAATAGTTCGAGTCCACACATCGTGTCATGTTACCAACCTAATAAGGCGGGATCCCTCGTGACATATCGACCAATGAAAATAGAGTGTTGACCTAATGGGAGTGATGTATCGGTGATTACCTACATGTCGTGTCTCCCATATAGTATTGACATATCGACTAACTAAATTATCATTATGTTTATTCATTTATTTTTTATTTATAAAAATATAAATTAAAAAAATGTATGTTTATAGATAGACTAATTATCATATATCATGAATAAATTAATAATAATAATAATAATAATAATAATAATAATAATAATAATAATAATAATAATAATAATAATAATAATAATAATAATACCTTGACTACTTACACATCCAAGAGACAAGGAAAGAATTCTTTCATCTTTCTAGACCTGAAGACACAAATATCTAAAATTCAATTGTTAATTTGCAAAAAATCCTTCTTCCTAAAGGATCAAGATTCTTGTTGACCCAGCAAACTTACAAATCAGGTATCTTCTCAACTAACATTATCATTAAACGAAGATCACAAAAATTGCAAGTCAACGTCAACCCTAAGATACATTTTTTTTTTTTTTGCAAGAAAGAAAAAAACATACTTATTAGATAGCATGGGTACAAAAGTCACCCTAAAGATCTGAAGTAATAATCAAGAAAAATTCTGAAAGCCACTCCCCTTGCCAAAAAAATATAGTAGCTAGATGCACTCTAGCGTAATTCAATTCGCTAGGTAGTTGACAACTCTATGTGTATTTTCAAATTATTAATTATTTTTTAAAAAAATTAGGTTGTAAATAATAATAAATTAGGTTGCCAATAAAAATCTTCAAACTGAAAATGGGGAAAAAAAATCCCAAAAAAGGGTCATAAATCTTACATATGAAGGGTTAACAAACATTGATTTGATCTGTCACACAGAATGCTTTATTCCATTGGAATTCTGCCACTTCTACCATCCAAATAAATATTCACAATAAATGAAAGATTTCGACTGCTAATATGTCGATAAACATTTCTTCAGCGGATCATTGAAATGGAGACGTCCTGTGTAGATTTTTTGTTCTGCTCCCATCTTTCTTTCGCTGAAACTAGTTGGAAAGTGATGATGGAGCGAGCCATGTCGGCTTGTCCCAAAGCGTGGATGATTTTTTTTTTATTCTTTTGAAAAGTAAAGAAGATTATATTAGATCAGCTAAAGCTGCAAAATCGGAAGAGGTCAAAGTTGTCCAACGAAGACGAGAAAAAAAAAGGTGATTATTCATCAAAAAAAATTAGCATGGTCATGAGCTACGAGATCGAGAAAGCGATCAAAATATTGAAACCGGACAACTTAAGGAAACGGACGACCGGGATAATGGTATGGAGACCCACGAGTCTCGCTGTTAGGGTTGAAGAAGTTGATAAGCCGGACAGGACACCAAGGTGATGTTAGGTTAACGTGTTCAGCATGCAGTCCCGTGAGCACGGCCGTTGAAGTCTGCAAAAACATCCAATTTTTCTCCGAACAATTGCGCACGCTGTTGCTATCCCACTCGCCGTTCGGCTTTCGTCTCCCTCGCTGCGTTTGCACCGCATCGATTTCATGGGATAAGATGCTTCAAAGGGACTGCAGTGGCCACTGTGAGCTCGATGACCCAGTCGTCTCTTTGGCGTCTGGTGGAGAGGCTCAACAAGAAGGAGGAACTGCTCCAATCACAAGCCTCAAATGGACTGCAGTGGCCACTGTGAGCTCGATGACCCAGTCGTCTCTTTGGCGTCTGGTGAGGACAGGCTCGACAAGAAGAAACCTCGCCTCCCGAACCAGGAGGAACTGCTCCAACCACATGCTTACATGTATATGTGTTCTTGCGTCGAGTTATCTGCAAGCACATCTGGAGACTAATTGAGCATGGATCCGAGACTAGAGGAAGCAGCTTATGCGAGAGACCTCACTTTGCTGCGGCGTTTGTATAAAATTCAATTGTTGACCATCGAGCTCACAGTGGCCACTGCAGTCCATTTGAGGCTTGTGATTGGAGCAGTTCCTCCTTGTTGAGCCTCTCCACCAGACGCCAAAGAGACGACTGGGTCATCGAGCTCACAGTGGCCACTGCAGTCCCTTTGAGGCATCTTATCCCAAGGAATCGATGCGGTGCGGACGCAGCGAGGGAGACGAAAGCCGGACGGCGAGTGGGATAGCAACAGCGTGCGCAATTGTTCGGAGAAAAATTGGATGTTTTTGCAGACTTCAACAGCCGTGCTCACGGGACTGCATGCTGAACACGTTAACCTAACATCACCTTGCTGTCCTGTCCGGCTTATCAACTTCTTCAACCCTAACAGCGAGACTCGTGGGTCTCCATACCATTATCCCGACTTTGACCTCTTCGGATTTTGCAGCTTTAGCTGATCTAATATAATCTTCTTTACTTTTCAAAAGAAAAAAAAAATCATCCACGCTTTGGGACAAGCCGACATGGCTCGCTCCATCATCACTTTCCAACTAGTTTCAGCGAAAGAAAGATGGGAGTGGGAACAAAAAATCTACACAGGACGTCTCCATTTCAAGGATCCGATGAAGCAATGTTTATCAATATATTAGCAGTCGAAATCTTTCATTTATTGTTAATATTTGGATGGTACAAGTGGCAGAATTCCAATGGAATTAAGCATTCTGTGTAAGAGATCAAATCAATGTTAGTTAACCATTCATATGTATCAGATAGCAGACAGGTCGTGTCTGTCATTTTCTACGTGAAGAAAAGTTAGGAAAAGCTACATCATAAGTCCATCTTGTTTCATCAACGTTCTCAAACACAAATACCGCACATCGACTGTCCCAGTCTCGCTTCATTCTCTAGGTAGTTTCGGCGAACGAGAAAGCAAGCTGAGCAAAAGTATTCTGCGAAGTCCAGACCAATGGGATGCAAGACGAGAAGAAGCAGCTTACGTTTTGGAGACGACTTGGTCAACAAGGCCGGCGTCTTGATGGAGACAGGACCAAGAAGACCGAGCGGGAGGAATCGTTAGAGATTTTTAGCCTATATATAGGCGTCCTAACTTCGAGTTGTTTGTGACCAAATCGAGAGAGAGAGAGAGTGTGTGTGTGTGTGTAACTAAGCATGGATCCGAGACTAGAGGAAGCAGCTTATGCGGGAGACCTCACTTTGTTGCGGCGTTTGCTACAAGAAGACCGGCTCCTGCTCCACAGGCAAGCCATCGCCGCGGCTCACCTGTCGGACAGCCCCCTCCACATCGCTGCATCGCTCGGCCACTCCGACCTGGTCCGGGAGATCCTCGCCGTAAACCCGGAGCTCGCGCATGGCCGCAACAGCGAAGGCCTTTCCGCCTTGCACCTGGGCGCTGCCCAAGGCCACTTATCCGTGGTGAACGAGCTGCTGCAGTACGCAGCCGCTGCCAATCTCTGCTTGGCGACCGACAACGATGGCTTAATGCCGGCCCACACTGCAGCCTTACGAGGCAGGCTTGATGTATTGACTGTGTTACTGGATGCGTGCCCGGAGTCCGCGCGAGCTGTGACATCGCAAGGTGACTCCATCCTTCATCTTACTGTGAAATCAAACAGCTTCGAGACCGTGCAGTTCTTGCTGAACAGAACGGATGAGAACGATGAGCTACTCAACTCTGGAGATGCGAAAGGCAACACCGTCCTGCACCTTGCTGTGGCCAGAAAACAGCTCCAGGTAGGTATTCCTGATCCCGATTAGAGGAAATAGATTTAAATGTCTTCTTCTTCTTCACAAGGTTTTTATGCATCCCGTACATCTTTAGACACAGCCTTGTCATAGCAAAAAGATACAAGTATTTTGCATTTCATTCACGAAAAGCAAATGGAAATAGTAAGGAGCTACATGTTCAAATTAAATTCAGACACAAATAAAACATCATCATAGTACAACATAAATCTCATAATATTTAGATTTAATAATTTTAGAAATTTAAATCTCCTAAAAAATAACTTAGATAAACAGAATTCTGGTTTTTCTCCATTACCCCCTTTATTTGAAATAAGTTCTCGATGAAAATATCATATTAAATAATTATTTATGAATATGACATAATATTAATAATGATGTCTAATAGTGCTTATTCTTTTAACACGTTCAATAAATATCTTGGGTGATAATCCTTTCGTTAATGGATCTGTAATCATAAGGACAATGCTAATATATTCAATTAATATTATTTATTTCTAAACTTTCTATTTTCACCGCTAAATATTCCATTTTCATATATTTATCACCTTTATAGCACTCACTTTTAAAGAAGAATACTATTACAAAATTATCATAATAAAGTTTTAAATTTTTTTAAAGAGTAAATCATGAAAACGAGATTTGAGCTTTTGAATTGTAGCCTTAAAACATGTCACAAACTAAACTTCTATGATGAATGTAGCAATGATGGACTGCTTTTATTTTGCCCTCATCCACAAAATTGCTCCTCAACTAAAAGGAACAAATAGTCAAGTGTTATTTTTTTTATATCAACACATCTAGCAAAATCTGAATCTAAACATCCAATTACTTCGAGATTATTTGATCTCCTATGAGCGAGTATATAATCCTTCATTCCTCATAAATATCTTATAACTTTCTTTATAGCTTTTTAATAGTCAAATCTAGAATTACTTTGATATCTGCCCAATATTCCAATAGCAAAACTGATGTATGACCTAATACAAATTTAGGCATGCATTTAACTTTCCAGGATAGATACATAAGGAATTCTTTTCATTTGTTCCAATTCATTCTTTGAACATTGCATAAGATAAATTTACCCCCTTTCCGAATTGGAATAATACCTCCTAAATAATTTTTTTTACTTTTTAAAAATTTTATTAATATATTTTTTATGAGATAATCCTAACAATCCTTATGATTGATCTTAAAATATTTTAATTCCTATCACATACATGGGTTGCCTCTCTCATATTTTTTTAATTCAAAGTTTTTAGAAAGATATGTTTTATTTCATATAATAAACTAAGATTATTAGTAGCAAGCAAAATATCATCAACATTTACAATCCAAAATATAAACTTGCTCTTGCCAACCTTCATATATGTACATAGATCAACAGTATTTGCATAAATGTAAAGGATTTTATGTATCATTAAACTTAAGATATCATTATCGAGAAGTTTGTATAAATTTATATATTGATTTCTTAAGTTTATATATCATGTGTTTTTCATATCTATTTTGTATAACTCTAAGTTATAATGAGCTACTATGATCGTAAAAATTCTGAAAAAATCTTTTCTGAAGATTAAATAAAAAAATCTTTTAACTCTTTGAGTGAAACCTTTAGCACCAAATCTGACCATGTGTCTTTTGATATTATCATTCAAGTAATATTTGATCTTAAAGACCTATTAATAATCGACCTTTTTTACATCCTTCAAGTAATTCATCAAAGGTCTCAAACTTGATTTTCATTCATATATTTTAATTTTTGCATTAACCATCTTTATAGAAATTATAGTTTCAATGGCCTATGAAAATAAAACTGGACCATCGAATATAACTAAGTCATAATTATTAGAAATAATAGATCTCCTTTATCTTTGAGATATTCTTAATGTTATTTTTTGTGATTCACTTATTGTAGATCGATTGATATTTATTGGAATGATTGATCATTTATTGATTTATTGCTCTTGAACATTATCGAATTGTTTAACAGTTTGGGGAACAAGAAGTTACTAGTAAAGCTACCTCTATTTGAATTTTTTAAATAATTATATTTCGTGATTCACCACTCTCACTTATTTTACAATTCTGGGAATAAAATCTATACCTCTTAGATTATAAATATTAAATAATAAAAACATAATTTGATACGATAATAAGATAAATAAATTAAAAAATAAAAGCTATAAATAGTAAATCATGACTCTGATACCATATCTAAATAGTTTAATCCTTGCACAACTAAAACATCATTGTGCACAACATAAATCTCATGATCTTTAGATTTAATGTTTTTTTATAAGAAAATCAACTTTAATTGAAAAAAAATACCTTGACATAATTCTAGTTTCCCTTGTTTTGACATATGCTATGGATGAAAAGAGAGGATCATGTTCCAAAATTTATAGTGACAAAAGATGTCTTTCATCAAAATATTAATTTGAAATTAATATATATTCATTAGGAAGACAAATCTATTTGAGAATTACATCTTTTATCGTTAATAGATACGATCTTTAATATCATAAGAATCAAAAGTCATGTGTGCCACGTTAATTCTGACACATAGCTCGAATGAATGCAGACCGTGAAGTTGCTTCTGGGAAGGCGAGGTATCGAAGTTAACGCCACAAACATGAGAGGCGACACCGTCCTTGATATGCTACTGGATTCACCCTGCCAACATGGAGATCTATTGTTGGGAGACCTGATTCGGGCAGCAGGTGGAAGAACCGCCGCAAAAGAAGAAAGGAAGACTCAGCCGAAATCGTCACCGAGTGATGCCAGAGCCTCTGCCACTGTCGCGTCACACAGAAGCCGACCAAATCGTTCTGAACGTAAAGAAAAGTACAACAACAAACCAGAAGCACTAATGGTGGTGGCGACGTTGATCGCCACCATCACATTCCAAGCTGGGCTGACCCCCCCTGGTGGGTTTAAGCAGAAAGATGATGGTGGGCCGACTCCCCCCAATGCAGAAGTCAATTTTGATGGGAGTTCAAGTGAAGGGGAGGCAGTTCTAAAAGATGGTCTCAAGTTATTCCTGCTGTTCGACATGTTCGCGTTGTTTGCATCCTTGAGCATCATCCTCTTGTTGATATGTTGTGTGCCCACACAGACTAAAATGATGACGGGAACCCTAAAGTGGATTCTATGGCTGGCGGTGTTCTCGACGGCATTAGCATTCTCGACCGCCATTATGCGAATATTTCCCTATCAGCTCGACACTGTCATCCTTCTCATGAGTTGGTTGGGAATCCTCAGTCTCTTCATGGTTTGGGTGTGCATTAGAGCGATCAGGTGGTTGTTGCGCAAAGGTGGATGCTGGAAGAAGAAAGATGGAGAAGGAGGAAGCCACGGAGGCCCCAGAAGGGCCGTTGCCATCGGCGCGAAGATTGTGGTGGGCGTGTTGATAATAATTATTTTTGGAGTAGTTCTTATTGTAAATTATTTAGTGTTTGTTTATGTAGCAAATAGGTCAAATAATAGAATAATATGATCTATCATTATTCTTATATGGTTTATCCTTTATCATCTTTTAAAGTTACTTTATCTTATTTTCAGAATGTAATTTGCTTTTCTGTAAACTTGTTCCTGTACGTCATCATCTATAAAAAAATTAATGGAAGTTCATTTTAGTGTGTTTTCCATTTTTTTACACAGTATATAGTAAATATGTAACTTTAGTCTTTATTAACTTTTGTTTTGTTCTCACAGATGATTTATACAAATTTTGTGGAACGCTACATCTCACACATATTAGTGACTTATTAGGAAATTAATTTCGGTGAAGGAAAAACTGACATATATATAATAAAAAAAATTAGGAAGAAATATTTGTTTGAACCCTTAGCCAACAATTTTTGCATCTTGATCACATAAAGGATGACACATGTTCGATCGATTGGCTAATAAAGATCACTTTTAAGTCCATTCTAATTGAGATCAAGACCTTACAGAAGATTAAGTCAGGAAGTCCCCAGTAAGACTCCTTTGATACTTAGGGTTAATAAAAGTAATCAATTATCTTGAGCCATAAGCCCCCATGTATAGACTAGAGGGTCTTTTTATAATGTGATAGATAACCAATGGAATTAGATCATAATGATTACCTAGAACAGTCATACGTATCATCTATTAATAAGTTATGGTAACATGCATCGAACTCAAGAGCATGAAGTAATAATTCATTGAATCAGCCTTTCGATCAATGCTATATAACTGATCTTATGGGACCGAATCGATATATCGATTATATGGTTCAAGCCCACACATATAAAAAATCTTGTCAGGCTACTAACCTAATAAGGTCAAATCCCTCAAGACATATCAACCAAATGGGAGTAGAGTATTGGCTTGATGGGAGTGATGTATAGGTGATTGCCTACATGTCATGCCTCTCATATCAGATATAGTGTTGATTGTATAATTAGATTTGATCATTAACTAGATTATCATAATGTTTATTCATTTATTTTTCTCTATTTATATAGGAAGAAATTTAAAAAATAAAATTTATGTTTATAGATAGATTAATAGCCTTGTATTATCAATAAATTATAAATAATTAGATTATATAATAATAATAATAATAATAATAATAATAATAATAATAATAATAATAATAATAATAATAATAATAATAATAACTGAAGGTGATAACTGGTGATAAATAATTTATGTTTATAGATAGATTAATAGTCTTTTTACAGGGGATTTTAACTGAAGATGTCTTTATGCAGCAACCCCCTGGTTTTGTTTATCACCAGTATCCAAGACATGTCTGCAAATTACAAAAAGTCATTTATGGACTCCGTCAAGCTCCACGAGCTTGGTATACTGAACTTGGATCATTTCTGATATCAATTGGCTTCATTAACTCCAAGCTGATACCTCTTTATTCCTACGACAACAACATGGAAATACAATATATCTTCTAGTATATGTAGATGATATTATTGTTACAAGCAATGATCCCTTGGAGATTCAGACATTTTTAAAGCAATTGGCTAATCGATTCTCCCTCAAAGATTTAGGACCCTTGAGCTACTTTCTGGGAATGGAAGTAATATTTACATCCTCAGGTCTCCTCCTTTCACAGAGAAAGTATATTCAAGACTTATTATCAAAGACAAATATGTAGGATGCGAAAGAAGTTGCTACTCCTCTCTCTACTAGTGAATCACTCAAATTATGTGATGGCAACCCTACCACGGACTCAACTCGATACCGACAAGTACTTGGCTCCTTACAATACTTGGCTCTCACCCGTCCAGATATCTCATTTGCAGTCAATAAATTATCTCAATACATGCACCAGCCTTCTGCTATGCATTGGTCTGCGGTTAAACGAATTTTGCGGTATCTTAAAAGGACCCTTAATCATGGTCTCTTTCTCCACAAAACCACTCAACTTCATCTTCATGCCTTTGCTGATGCTGATTGGGCGGGAAACTTTGATGATAGAACCTCCACGTCAGGATATGTGATTTTTCTTGGATCTAATCCAATCAGTTGGAGTTCTAAGAAGCAAAAGACAATAACCCGGTCTACAATTGAAGCTGAATATCGTGCTATTGCTACCGCTACTGCTGAACTCAATTGGGTCACAAATCTCCTCAAGAAACTCAAAGTTAGTTCTACCCTTACTCCTACAATATATTGTGACAATGTTGGAGCTACCTACTTATGTGTCAATCCAGTGTTCCGCTCACGCATGAAACACATTGTCATTGACTTTTACTTCGTGCGAGATCAAGTTGTCATACATCAACTTCGTGTCTCTCATGTCCATATGGCTGATCAACCAGCAGACTCACTCACGAAGCCTCTAGCCTGCAAACTATTTTTGTTGCATCCAAGATCCTTGACAGGAGCTCGATCTTGCGGGGGGCATGATAACAGAGAGTTTCCTCAACTGCATAGCAGATAAGATTTCCTCAACTGTATGAGGCAATCTCTCTGCTCAGTTAAAGAAATCTTATCTTTCACCATGTATAAATAGACTTCATATGATACTAATTGAAATGTGTTTTTCTTCGTTCTCTCGTTTCTTCGCTACTCCTCTCCTTAAAATAGTAGTTAGATGCACTTTAGCATAGTTTGCTAGCCAATTGGCAACTCTGTTACATTTATGATATCAAGAAAGAGTTAAAACGTCTTAACGATAAAGGGAGGATGCTTAAGGGAAATTGGGATGTGCCACTTAGGATGTCCACAAAGCACTTCAAATCAATTTCAATATGAATACTACTGAAACATCGAATAAGATTTTAGAGAGGCTACGATGAATATATGCAACTAGCAAAAAGGACACCACTAGTATTAAAATGCCAAAAACTAGTACCCTCCTTGACATATTGATTGAAAGAGTTACCACAGTTCAATTTTAGCCACCTAGATTGAGGCCTAGTTCAAGAGATCGTTTCATAGAAACTTTAGAATGATCCTATAATAATAATAAAAAATTATCCTAACAAAGATAGTATTAGAAGAAGCTTTGAGTTGCTAAAAGATCCAATTTGAAGGAGGAAAAGAGGAAGAGAAGTGTGATTTTGA